GCCCAGCGCAGGGCGCAGGAGCATCCGAGGCGCCGCGAGGCCTCGGCGCCCGCGCCCAGCCCGCGCCTGGCGGCGGCGGAGGCGACGAGCAGCGGCCCAGCCCCTGCGGAGGCGGCAGATGCGACCCGTCCAGCGGGATGGAGGGTCAACGGCCACCTCCTCATGGAGTCGCGCGTCGAGGGCGACGTTTCCGAACCCTTCCTGGTCTGCGCGGCCTGCTGGATGTACTGCCGCCTCCCCAGGTACGCGCACCGCGGCCTGGGCAAGCCGTGCGGGGCCAGCGCGGCGGCGGGGCAGCCCAAAAGCAAGAAGGGATCCAGAGCCCAGGCGCGGTCGGACTTCGCACGTGGGATCCTGCCAGCGTCGAAGGAGCCGATCGCGCCGCTGGCCTCGCCAACGGCAAGCACGCGCCTGCGCTGGGCGGCGGCGCTCCAGGCCAGGCAGGGCCACGGCTCGGAGGTGCAGGCGACCGAGGCGGCGCCCGTGCCAGCGCTGCGGCAGCCTGCTGCAGCCCCGCCCACGCCGCCTGCGGCTGGCGCTGGTAGCCCGATGGCTGCGCCGCCGAGCGCCACGGCGCCGCGGCGCCTGGCAGCGGCGGCCCCGCGGGCGGAGGCAGCCGAGCCGCGGCGGATCCGCCCAGGGCTCGAGGGCGTCCTCCGAGCCCACGGCTTCGCGGACGCTGCGGCGGCCCGCGAACGCGGGCGAGCCGCGAGGGAGGCGGCCGTCCCGCCTGCTTGAATTTGTTTGCATGAAACCGTGGACCTTTGTCCGCGCCCACAGAGATAAACAAAAAATGTCCCCACCGTAGTCAGGCCAGGGACCGGTTCTGAACGACCTGTTCGGGCGGGCGGGTGAGCCGTTGGCCGCCTCCTGGAAGAGGGTGCCGCTGCGGCTGCTCTCGGGGAATGCGCTCCGACTGAGGCCCCGGGGCCGGTGCAGACCTCTCCGACGGTGGGTCCCGGCGGTGTTTCCCTCGACGTAGGGTCCGCCTCTTTTCGGGGGCGGCCAGGAGGGGGGTGATGACTAGGGGGGGGTGGATATCATGGCGGGGGCCATGATATTTCCCAGATTTCATGGTGCCTCTTTTTATATCAATACGTTCCTGGCCCCCCCTGGTCCGCGCACATACCTCGGGCCATGATTTGCGCCCCCCCCCCCTCTTGGACACACCCCTCTTGGCCGCCCCCGATATATGATATTTGGGGCCTGCCGACTGGGGGCAGCACAGGGTGAGAAAACTGTCCCCAGGGAAGGGGCTCCGAGGACGAAAAGGTACCCACACCGCTACCCTTCGGCCGTTTTCCCCTTTTTGAGGGCCTCCAGAGCGGCCCTCGTCGCCACCGCTGGATTCGCCTCGAAATCCTGGTCAGAACGCACCCCCAGGAGAGGTCCAGGGAGTAGCGGTATCGGTACCTCTTGGTTTCCCCTGGGAAGGGGTCGTGGGGACCCGGGGGGGTGGTATACCACCCCCCCGGGACCCCACGACCCCGAAGAAACAATTACATTACCCCCACCCCTATAGGGGTGGGGGTAATGTCATTGTTTCTTCTCCAGGGCCCCCACACAATTCCCCGCCATTGGCCCCGGACTCCGACCCCGCCGGCCCCGGCCCCGGACCCAGTCCCGGCCTCGGGGTGCATCGTCGGGCGTCCTGGTGCTAGGCGTTGCACGGACCTCTGTGCTCTCGACCCCCGCACCTCTTCCTCTCTGACCGGGGCGGGGCGCCCAGCGGGGGAAAGGCCTGCGACGTCTGGGCCACCCCGGGCATCCTGCCCCGTCCCAGGGGGGTAGTCTGTCATCCTGGGCCAGCTTCAAGTCGGGCCTGTCCCCCTACAGGGGGATTTTGGACAAAAAATTAAGAATACACCAGAAATGCCCCCCAAAAGGCCAAAACATCTTCAAAAAATAGTCCCCAGACTATGTTTGGATTATTTTTCGAATATGTTTGGGGTATGTTTTATTTTTCGTCGAAAATCCCCATGTAGGGGGACAGGCCCGACTTGAGGCCAGCTTTTGGAAGGCCGCGCGGGGCCCGAGCACGGGCCCGGAGAAAACCGCCGGGGCTGAGAAGATCACATCGGCCAGCGCAGATACTGGAACAGATTGGTCTGGAGTAGGCTGGACTGGACTGGGGTGGACCTCTCTCCATTCTAATGTCTTGTACCCGAAAACTCTCCTCTGTTCTACTGGGCTCTATTCTCCTCTACGTCAACCGACCCTACCCTAACCTACTCTGTCCTACGGTACTCTTACCTACCCTACTGTGCTCTCTACTCCTACTCTTTCCTCATCTGATCTCTATTATGCTCTGCTCTACTCTACCCTACTTTACTCTACTCTTAACCCGACTCTACTCTACCATCTACCATAATATGTTTTACTCGACCCACCCCCTACGCTAACATATATCTATATTTTCTACTCCCACTCCTACTCATACTTACTCCACTCTGTTCTACTCGACCCTGCACGAACTATTACGACTCTGCTCTACTCTTGTCCGACTCTGCCCTACTCTGTTCTACTCTAATACGTTGTTCCCCTCTACTCCCATCCACTTCAATATGGTCAACTCTACTCATATGAACTCTACTCGATTATATTCGACACCGCTCTGCCACACATCATATGATGCTCTACTCTACCCTATTCTACCTACCCTGTCTTAAATTACTCCCACTCCTACTTCACTCTATTCGACTCTCGACTCTACTCTACTCCAATCCTCATTCATTATTGGTATACTCTCCCACTCCGCAGCGAAACCGACTGGTGGGGGCCAGATCTGAGTGGGTCAATCCTACCAGTGAAAAAAACAATTTCAAGTCTATGGTGTCTTGTCAACATGTACATTCTGTTGTCCACGTTGCAGAATGCGTGGCCGGAGTGGGATTGGGCGCGCATCCCGAGCGAAAGGCCGAATTGTCACTCTCGCCTTGGCGCCGCGTTCACTTTTCTAGAGGATTGAGCTTCCGCTCAGGCGCGAGCGGGCGAAACCGTGGCTCTCCCCACTGCGCAGCGCAGATTTCACCCGAAGGTGGTGCTCCCGCCTCGACGCGGCGCACATCTGCAGCGCGCCAATTTCTTGGGGCCTTCGCGTGTGGGCGACTCGGCGCCCTCGCCCAGGCGCCGTGCGCACCTCGCAGGGCGGTGGCGGTCCAACGCGGGCGCGGCGCACGCTTCGCTCGCCGAGCCGCACGGCAGCGCCCGCGGCAGCAGAGCCGCGCGAGGGGGGGCGAAATGCCGACCTCGCCCAGGCGCCGTGCAGCTTGCAAGGGCTCCCTCGAGGGCGCGAAGTTATTCGCGCTTCGCGCTTCGCGGTCCTCGTTCCTTCTCCCTCTCCTCCTCGTCCTCCTATTCTCCCTTTGGGAGGGCGGCGCGAGAGCGCGAAGTTATTCGCGCTTCGCGCTTCGCGCAGCGCGAAGCGCGAAGTTGGGAGCCCTAGAGCTTGTCAGTGGAAGTGGCAATGCTGTGTCAGTGCGGCGCAGGCTCTGTCCTCGCCCGAGCGCCGCGCAGCTTGCCAGTGGAAGTGGCAGTGCTGCGTCAGTGCGGCGCACGCTCCTGTCCTCGCCGCGCCCTTCGGACGTTCTGCCGCGTTCGGCCCTGCGCGGCCCGCGTGGTTCGTGCTCTCTTCGCCACGTCGGAAGCGGGGCCGCGCGCGAGCAGCTTCCGTTTGCGAGGGGGGGGGTCGTTCCGATCCCAATCTCCAGTTGTGCCGCGTGTGCAGCTGATGTTGCGTGGTGGAGGGGGGGAAGTGGGCGGGGCTTTCTGATTCGCTCTGCCTGACTAGTTTGACTCTACTCTCCTCTCTTCGCCTATACCCTTCTCTACTCCACTCTACTATACCCGGCTCTACCGTACCATCTGCATTGCTCTACCCTGCTCGATTATACCCTACCCTACCTAAACCTACTCTACTCGACTGGGCACCTACTCTACTGTATTCCAACTCTCCTGTACCCTACTCTACTCTCCTCCGCCCTATTGGACTCTGCTCAACCCCACCCGATTCTGCTTCACTTTATTCATCTACTCTTCTCGGCTCTACTCTGCTCCTATTGTACTCTCTGCTACTCCACCCTACTCTACCCGACCCTGCTCTATTCTACTCCACTTGATGCTTCTCTTACTCTACTTATCTACTCTTCTACACTCTACTGTGCTTTATTCTGTTCTACCCTACCCTAATCCTGAGATTGACGACTGTTGGGACGCCATTGGAATAGCCACAGGAGTCATTGGCATGGCAGAGGAAGCCACTGACATTGGCAGAGGAAGTCATCTGGGTCTGAGGGCGTGCCGTGACCCCCCCGACCCAGAGATCCGATGTCGTGATTTTTCCAATGCGGGGTCCCCGGGAAGTCTCGACCCATTCCCAGGGACCAGCTGGTCATCCCGAGTCGTTCCTTGACGATCCCAGGGCCCGGCGAGGGCCCTTCGAGTCCGATGCGATGCGATGCGATGCGATGCGACGATGCGACCGCCGGTGCGCACAGCGCCCGGGCCTAGAGCAGACCAGGTGGGTGAGGCCATGGCCTCTAGGATCCTAGAGGCCATGGCCTCCAGGATCGAGAACAAATATCCGTCTTGGTTTTTCCCATACGTTGGGTCTCTGGGGGCAGATGAGCAGATGAGCATTTTCTTAGGGTGGAGGGCTCAGGGTGAAATCCATCGAAAACCAATCCGTTCTGTTGCTCGCCTTTTGCAGATTCACGCTTCGAAAACCCATCGAAACGGCATCTCAGATTTCACCCTTTGCCCTCCACCCAAAGAAGATGCTCAAAGGATCGGGGGAGCGTAAGACCCGGGTTTGCCAGGACTCGGGTTCGCCATCGTTTTTTGACGACCGCGATTCGGATTTTGACGAGGAGGAGTTTCGTGGGATGTGTGCAGCGGGAGGCCTCGTCAAAATGCAGGCTCGGCCTCGTCATTTTTTTGACGACCCCGTCGGGGATTTCCGAGTCCCCCGTGCCCGGGTCTTACGTCTCCCCGAGAAGGAGTGGGACTGTCACCTGCCGCTGCGCCAGCTGTACCCGGACCTCGGCGCGGCCTTCCTGCTGCCGCCGGCGTGGCCCGACGTCTACGGCGAGGGCCCGGAGGCGGAGGAGGAGGAGGAGGAGGAGGAGGAGGAGGAGGGAGGAGGAGGAGGGAGGAGAGGGAGGGAGGGAGGGAGGGAGGGAGAGGAGGGAGGGAGGGAGGAGGAAGAGGAGGAGGAGGAGGAGGAGGAGGAGGAGGAGGAGGGGGCCCCTCCTCGCCGCCGCCCGGCGCGGCGAGGAGGGGCCCGAGCGCGTCGCCGCGGCGGCTCGCCTCGTGCGCGAAGGCCCCCCCGGCGGCACGCGGCCCTCTCACCCGGTTGCCCGGCGTGGCTCAGAGGCCAGCTCCACAGACCTCCTCCTCCTCCTCCTCCTCCTCCTCCTCCACCTCCTCCCCCGGCCACCTCCTCCTCCTCCTCCTCCTCCTCCTCCTCCTCCTCCTCCCCCGGCCACCTCCTCCTCCTCCTCCTCTTCCTCCTCATCCTCATCCTCCTCCTCCTCCTCCTCCTCCTCCCCCGGCCACCTCCTCAAGCCATGACCAGAAGCACGACGCGAGGCGTTTCGCGGCGTTCGGCCCCTGGGGGCCCTCACCGGGCCGCGGGGCCGTCAGCTACAGGCTCAGGATGAAAAGTGGGTCCCCGGGGATGGGTCGAGACCCCTGGAGTTCGACATCATGGAAAGATCTCAGGAGGGAAAAGAATCACACCGACACAATGAATCGCCGATACCCAAGAAGATATGAGAAAATAGGGGAAGTTGGGAGGGGGAAGATGAAAACCCAGAAAATCTGGGAAAAGATGGGGAATCCTGCGATTTGTGTACATTTATTTGTGTGTCCCTGGGCCCCGTCAGAGACCCCTGAAGTTCGACACCATGAACATCATGGCGTCGGCGGTCTGGGAGCCCAGATCCCCGACAGCGTGAGCCCAGACAGGCAGCGCCCTGAGACCAGCAGGGCGGAGGTTTTTCTCCCCGCCTCGGGGCTCCTGGGGGCTCTCGCCGGGCCCCGGGACCGTCAAACTGAAGGGGTCCTGGGACACACAAATAGATACACACACACACACACACAAACAACAGGATTCCCCATGCCATTCCATATTTTCTGGGTTTCTGTCTCCCCCCCCATTTCCCATATTGTCCCATATTTTCTGGGGAGTCGACGATTAATTGTGTCTGTTTGTTTTTTCTCTCCTGACAAACGACGGCTCGGGATGAAACAATCAGCCCTGGGGGGAGGGCCGGGACTTCCAGGGACCGCGTAATTTTCCGGGGGTTGCTGAAGGTGCCCCTGGCCCAAGGTGCCCCCAGCTTGTCCAATCTTGGACCCCCTTGGGGCTCTCTGGGAGTCGTGAGGGGTGCTCTCGAGGCCCTGGGGGCCTCCTTGGAAATCCTGGGGGCACCGTGGGCCAGGGGCACTTCTAGCAGCACCCGAGCGTATTGAACAAATCAGGACATCGCATGTTTGGGATGTTATCCGGCAGGAGGAGAAGAGGAGGAGGAGGAGGAGAAGAGGAGGAGGAGGAGGAGGAGGAGGGGGAGGGGGAGGGGGAGGAGGAGGGAGAGGACCTTGACCTGAATCTGTCACTTCGCTGAAGGCCTGCAGTCGCCAGCACACGAACGGGCCCAACCGCACATCGCCCCCACGCACGGGGCACTGGGCGGAGTGGCATCTGCTCAAACTGGCTTACGGCCAACCTGTCCTGTTCCCTCGGCCTTTGCCCTTTCCCGTCCCGCGTCCCCCTCCACCTCCTTCGGGCCTCGGCTCGGGTGGACGGTGAATTCGGAACTGATGCGGAAGAGGGCGTGACAAATACTGCTCAGGAGCAGCATTCGAATGAGGCCTAGGGGACGGGAGACGCCCCGAATTCGCCAGCTCTCGAAATCTGGCGCCGCGTGCGAAGGCGGAGGGAGTGAGGAAAGGGAGAGCCGACCTGCCTGTCGTAGCCTCGGCGCTCTCCGCGGAAGTTCCCCCTCACTCCAGCAGACGCACGGTTTCCCTCTGGAGCGCTCCCCTCGGCAGGGCTCGACTTCGATTGCTTCCGATTCCGATTCGATTCGATTTGGAATTCCGATCTGGGGGCCGACTCCTTATTAGAGGCGCACTCGCCTGCCAAATCTGTTCCGATTCGACTTCTCCCGACTCGGCTGCCGATCTCCGCCGATCCGATTCATTTCGATCGCTGGTCCGACTTGTCGATCCGATTCGGGGCTCTCCGGCCTCGGTGCCGTCCCGTATTTCTTCCTGGTTCTTCCTGGCTCCCTGCGTCATCGGCGCCGCCACGAGAACGTTCCTGATCTACACGTGCTATGGATGCAGGGTGAAGTGGGTCCGAACCTCCTCCTTCCCCTGTGCGGCCTTGCCCTCGTCCTTCTTCACGCGGAAGGTCGTGACGCTGGAGCCCAACTTCTCGATGCCGGGCTGCATCACCACTTCTTTGCGGTACTTCTCGAGCGTCTGCCATGCGTCGCCCGTCGTGTCCTGGCCGAGCTTTTCTGCACCGCCTTGGGCCACACGACGAGGCGGGGCGGTCCCAGGGCGCCTAAGTCCACGTTCTCGTCTGTCTCGGCTCCTCTTGAGGTCCTGCGCGTCGGAGTCGTAGTCCACGCCAGCTTGAAGCCCAACGCTGGCCATCGGCGAATCTGCGTCCACCTTCCAGGTCTCGACCACCGCCGACGTCAGCTCCGCGGTCTCTCTGGCGACGGTCAGCACGAGCTTCGCCGTCAGCTGCAGCAAGCGGTCATTGCTCTTGTCGTCTTGGCGGCCCTTCTTGTTGTCATGCCCCTTCGGCTGTGTCTCCGCTCCTCGCTTCGAGCCCGCCCACGTCGGCATCTCTTCGAACATGCCCATACTTCTGAAGTGTCCACTGCAAGTTGTGTGAGGAGATGCTGGCAAACTTGGTCTCCGTCTCGATCGAAATGGCTACAGATCGGACACTTCACGGCGAAGGGCGTCGGCTCGAACTAGTTTTGAGCTTGGTCATAGATCTCGAGAGTTGACGCCACGCCGTATTTCTGCATGTGAATGTCTATTTGCAGTGGATGCACTGACTATCCGTGGTCAGGGTCGCCGCCAGGTTGTGCATGTGGTGGTGTTTGATGATGTGACTCCTGAGTGCCTTACACCTCTATCCCTTAGCTCTCCAGTTGCTCATCAGTCTTCTCGTTGTCCCCTCCCACCGGTGAGATTCAGCAACTAAGACGGGATTGGCAGAATTCTTCAACATCGAGTCGGGGAATTTGTTTCTGGATCTAGCTGGAGAACATGACCTTGGGGGTAATCTCCTGGCCCTGGATAGCCTCCTGGAAGCTCTCCGTGCACCCCGTCGCGTCCCGAAAGTCCTGCACAGATCTCCTGGCCCAAGGATTGCTAGTCTCCGAGAGGTCCTCTGGGTCCCCCACCTTTTGTCTCGAAGTCTAGGACCCTTACTGAGAATGGATTTCGCCCAGCTCAGTCTCCGAACGCTAGCCTCGTGCTCGGGGTGGGGGACCTTCCAGTACTTGAACACATGCGCCGTACTCAAGCTCGAGTGCCGTCCGGTTTCTGTCACCGTCGTGGCTCTCCCCGCATCACCCGCCTCAAGGGACATCCCATCGCTCGGTACATCGTCTCATACTCGGCTCGCGCGGGAAGGAAGCATTCGCTGCACTCAGTCCCGTGTTCAAGACCCGACAGATCAGCATAGCCTTTTTTCCCTTTGTTCGGAATGCTTGCTCGCTACCAGAAGGACCCAAACTCACGATAGGACTTATGCATTGCCGACTGGCGCTTCCCGAGCTCGCAGGAGTAGCTTTGTTTCGAGTCCACGAACGGCCCCAGGTATCGAGCTGCTGGGAGAACCTTTCCTGGAATCCCCAGTTTCTTGATTTCACGATGTGTTTTCGCAGCCCATGATCCCCCGAAGTACACGATGCTTTCTTGTGCTTCTCGATGTTGTTGGAGTCCGATATGGTGCAGCATCTTGTCTAGCAAATCATCATCGAGGCGCGCCTCCGGGGCGAGAAACTGCGGATCAGGCTCGTATGGTCCTGGCAGCAGTTTTCTCAGGTCGCCGGCGTACTTTGTGACTCCGGCGTAAGTCGGCTCTTGTAAGAGTGCGAACTGTCCCCACAGCAGATGGTCGTACGTGAGTCGTTGTTGGCAGTCAGCAATCCAGTCTCGTACACCAGGGGCAAAGGTCGCCACGAAGTTTTGCACCATGAAGGAGTCGCCGATCAATCCTCCGCATCTCGGGTGGGTCATAACGCCCTCGACGTCATCTCTGCACGGGACCAGAAAACTTGCACGCCTATAGCGCTGCTCTCCAAGATTGCACATCTGTCATGGTTATATAGTTTAACTCGCTGCGTCCATTCTCAACCAGGATCAGCTGGCACATGCGTTGCTCATGTCGTTCATTGATGTCATGAAACTTTTTCCACTCTGTCTCGCTCGATACTACACGATGGCAGCTGCAAGTGTAGCTCATTCGTGTCTGTTATCTTGATATGTGAACTCTCTATCCGTAGCTCGTGCCAGTCCTGCTGCGTAGAAAGCCCTGCCCAGCGGGCCGAGGATATGGCACATGCGCTCCTTGCTTGTGGTTCTTCTTGACTGCTGTTGCCGCGCTGCAGTGCCATTGTACTGGTGCTCTGTCTTGTACTTGCACTTGTGCAACTCCACGTTGTAAGGCCCCCCTGAACTCTTTCGTGTACTCGATGGTTGTGTCGTGGCCCAGTCCATGTGGCTGTGGCTTGTCCGCGGGGTCCGCCGGCATCATTCTCAATCTCGTTCGGGACTGAAGTGGCTGGAATTGCTCGTCGCAACTTGGCGTTGTGGTACTTCAGCTCGTGCTAATTGTCTGTCAGTACCTCCTCCTCGGTCTTGGGCTCGCTGAAGCACTCTAAGTTGGCGACTTCCGTGGGAGTGACTTTCTCTCTGAGCATTCCCCCTTCGCCACCAGGCCGTCTCCAGAAAGTGGTCCACTCCTGTGCCGATGGCTGCGACGTCGTAACTATCCAATAATCTAGTCTGAGAGGCTCGTGTCTGCCTCCCACTGATGCCACATCTCGTTGTTCCCACGCTCGCC